AAAATCCTAGTAAATCCTAGTAAATCCTAACCTGTTTTCATTATAGAGCTATGATAGTGTGGTGGTAGAAAAATGAATAGTCATGCCATGGGAAACATTTGGTTCAAATATTTTAAGTTGAACACTATTACAAAACTTTGGACCACAATTTTTTAAAAATAATTTTATCTGACCCTGAACCCCCTCCAAAACAAAAACACCCTCCCTCAAAACTAAATGAAAAGACCCCAAATGGATCAGAGGATATTTTATTATATTCCATTAAAAAAGATGATAATAAACAGTTTCTGCCTGTGATATTACAACTGTCTTTCTTTCTGATTCCTAATTCTCTCTGACTAATTATTGGTCAAAATTCAGATCCATCTTTGCTTTGACAATTACTTAGATCCTCTCACATAAATGAACCCAAACCTGCAAGTCAATAAAGCTGAAGAATGAATATGGCTTCAAGCTACTTCCTAGAGATTTACAAAGGAACTTTAAGCTACTTATCAAACAGGCCTTTAAGAAGTACTATTTTAAAATGCCTGTGTGCTTAAGAAAGGCCATGCAAGTTGCCAGAACATTAAAGGAATAGCTATGCTGAAGCTGCACATTGGAGGCAGAAGTTTTAAAAGTGGCCTCTCTCTTAAATAATGAATATTGGCCACAGTGAAAACAAGTGAAACTATGATAGTTATGTACAGTTCTATATGTAACATATCAGTCTTCTCATCCCAGCACATTTTAGAAACAGTGAACAAGAAGAAACCATGAACATCTTTGTTCTTAGGTCAGCATTAAACCATCTCTCTCTTTTTAAAAGCAAATGGCATGGATCTTCCTGTGATGACTTCAGCAATGCTTTTGCTGCATGAGATATTTAAAAAAAAAAAAAAAGATGCCAGCAGGATCAAGGATTGGGGATGGAGGTAGAGATGTCTATGACTCAATCAGATTGTTTGAGCAATCTGGTCGGTTTTCTCCATAGCTAGCTGTGTGGGATATCTATCTATCTATCTATCTATCTATCTATCTATCTATCTATCTATCTATCTA